ACTCTGCTGTTCGACTTTGGGATGAGTCGGACCCCCCCCCCCCCCCCCCCCGTACCTTGTCACAACACAACTGATTGGCTCAAACACATTAAGAAGGAAAGAAATTCCACAAATTAACTTTTAAGAAGGCACACCTGTTACTTGAAATGCATTCCAGGTGACTACCTCATGAAGCTGGTTGAGAGAATGCCAAGAGTTTGCAAAGCTGTCATCAAGGCAAAGGGTGGCTATTTGAAGAATCTCAAATATAAAATATATTTTGATTTGTTTAACACTTTTTTGGTTAATACATGATTCCATGTGTGTTATTTCATAGTTTTGATATCTTCACTTATTCTACAATGTAATTTTTTTTAGAAAAACCCTTGAATGAGTAGGTGTGTCCAAACTTTTGACTGGCAGTGTGTGTGAGAAATTTGTTTTGATTTAGAATGGAACATTATCATGCACCTGTCTCAAAACAGGGTCAGGGGGAAAAATGCATGTAATCTATGCACTTAAATAGCGAATGGAGGACTCTTTTCTCGTGGTTCATTTTCATGCCAGCCAGGTAGGCTATACTCCTGTTGTAAAGAGAAGCAATGTGCTTAATATTAGGAAAGTTGTTAAATAAATATAGTTGGCTTAGCCTATAGAAAGCTGATGGCATCCTCCTCTTTTTAATAGAGGCCATCAATACTCTGTTTTCTCAGGCAATTGCGTAGCCTATAGAAATGTTGCGCAACATGAGCTCTCATTAAGTGTTTGATTCGATTTTCGATTCGATTTGCATTGATGTCATAGTGATTAGAGGGACAATAGAATACTGAGTACCAGGCAGTTAGCAAGTTTGGTAGGCTACTAATGACCATCAACAGCATCAGAGCTTGGAGAAGCCTAGTTACCCTGACTAAACGGTCACGTGGAATTTGACTGCCTTCATGACTCGTGACTGACAGTGCGGCGGTAATACGGTCACCATAACAGCCCTAGTAGTGTGTATGGCCCAGTACATCTATGGGGCCGAGCTCCCTGACGTCCAGGACCTCTATACCAGGAGGAGATAGTTAGTTATCTCCTACCGCACGGCAAGCGTGGAACCAGCAGGACCCTGAACAGCTTCTATCCCCAAGCCAAAAAGTCTGCTAAATATTTAGTCTGGGTAGCTATTTGGTTAACTATTTAACTATCGGCATTTACCATTTTTGCACTAACACTTTTGACTCATCACATATGCTGCTGTTACTGTTTATTATCTATCCTGTTGCATAGTCACTATATCCCTACCTATATGTACATATCTACCTCAATTACAGTGGCTTACGAAAGTATTCACCCCCCTTGGCATTTTTCCTATTCGTGGCCTTACAACCTGGAATTAAAATGGATTTTTGGGGGGTTTGTATCATTTGATTTACAGAACATGCCTACCACTTTGAAGATGCAAATTTTTTTTTTTGGGTGAAACAAACAAGAAATAAGACAAAAACAGAACTTGAGCGTGCATAAATATTCTGGGTTCTGCTGGTGTACAGCAATCTTTAAGTCATATCACAGATTCTCAATTGGATTGAGGTCTGGGCTTTGACTAGGCCATTCCAAGACATTGAAATGTTTCCCCTTAAACCACTCAAGTGTTGCTTTAGCAGTATGCTTAGGGTCATTGTCCTGCTGGAAGGTGAACCTCTGTCCCAGTCTCAAATCTCTGGAAGACTGAAACAGGTTTCCCTCAAGAGTTTCCCTGTATTTAGCGCCATCCGTCATTCCTTCAATTCTGACCAGTTTCCCAGTCCCTGCCGATGGAAAAACATCCCCACAGCATGATGCTGCCACCACCATGCTTCACTGTGGGGATGGTGTTCTCGGGGTGATGAGAGGTGTTGGGTTTGCGCCAGTAATAGTGTTTTCCTTGATGGCCAAAAAGCTCAATTTTAGTCTCATCTGACCAGAGTACATTCTTCCATATGTTTGAGGGAGTCTCCCACATGGCTTTTTGCGAACACCAAACGTGTTAGCTTATTTTTTTCTTTAAGCAATGGCTTTTTTTTTGGCCACTCTTCCGTAAATCCCAGCTCTGTGGAGTGTACGGCTTAAAGTGGTCCTATGGACAGATACTCCAATCTCCGCTGTGGAGCTTTGCAGCTCCTTCAGGGTTATATTTGGCCTCTTTGTTGCATTTCTGATTAATGCCCTACTTGCCTGGTCCGTGAGTTTTGGTGGGCAGCCCTCTCTTGGCAGGTTTGTTGTGGTGCCATATTCTTTCAATTTTTTAATAATTGATTTAATGGTGCACCGTGGGATGTTCAAAGTTTCAGATATTTTTTTTATTACCCAACCCTGATCTGTACTTCTCCACAACTTTGTCCCTGACCTGTTTGGAGAGCTCCTTGGTCTTCATGGTGTCGCTTGCTTGGTAGAGCCCCTTGCTTAGTGGTGTTGCAGACTCTGGGGCCTTTCAGAACAGGTGTGTGTATATATACTGAGATCATGTGACAGATAATGTGACACTTAGATTGCACACAGGTGGACTTTATTTAACTAATTTTATGACTTCTGAAGGTAATTGGTTGCACCAGATCTTATTTAGGGGCTTCATAGCAAAGGGGGTGAATACATATGCACACAACACTTTTCCGTTATTTATTTTTTAGAATTTTTTGAAACAAGTTACGTTTTTTCATTTCACTTCACCAATTTTGACTCTTTTGTGTATGTCCATTACATGGAATTCAAATAAAAATGAATTTAAATTACAGGTTGTAATGCAACAAAATAGGAAAAACGCCAAGGGGGATGAATACTTTTGCAAGGCACTGTACCTCATACCCCGTATATATAGCCAAGTTATCATTTCTCTCTGCATTGTTCGGAAGGGCCCGTATGTAAGCATTTCACTGTTCACCTGTGACGAATACAATTTGATTTGTATAATGTGCTCTTTTTGTCAGCTGATGTTGAAGGGTGTTATTGACTTAATAGCCCTAATTTTCAGAAATCTCTCACTCTTTCTTATCGCTCTCTCTCACATTCTCTCTCTCTCGTACTCGCTCTCTCGCTCTCACTCTCTCACTCACTCTCTCTCGCACTCTCTCTCTCACTCGCTTTCTCGCACTCGCTCTCTCTCGCACTCGCTCTCTCTCACATTCTCTCTCTCGTACTCGCTCTCTTGCTCACTCTCTCACTCTCTCACTCACTCTCTCTCGCACTCTCTCTCTCACTCGCTTTCTCGCTCTCTCTCGCACTCGCTCTCTCTCGCACTCGCTCTCTCTCGCACTCGCTCTCTCTCGCACTCTCTCTCTCTCGCACTCTCTCTCTCTCGCACTCTCTCTCTCTCGCACTCTCTCTCTCTCGCACTCTCTCTCTCTCGCACTCTCTCTCCTCCGCACTCTCTCCATCTCTCTCGCACTCTCTTCTCTCTCGCACTTCTCTCGCACTCTCTCTCCTCTCGCACTCTATCTCGCTCTCCTCTCTCTCTCTCGCACTCTCTCTCTTCGCCACTCTCTCTCTCTCACTCTCTCTCGCACTCTCTCTCGCACTCTCTCTCATGCACGCTCTCTCTCTCATGCACTCTCTCTCTCATGCACTCTCTCTCTCATGTACTCTCTCTCTCGCACTCTCTCGCACTCTCTCTCGCACTCTCTCTCTGTCAATTCGATTTCAATTCAATGGCTTTATTGGCATGGGAAACATGTTTACATTGCCAAAGCAAGTGAAGTAGATAATAAACAAAAGTGAAATAAACAATACAAAAATTAACAGTCAACATTACACTCACAAAAGTTCCAAAATAATAAAGACATTTTCAAATGTCAACACAAAATGTCTGTCTCTCGCTCTGTCTTTCTGTCTCTCGCTCTGTCTTTCTGTCTCTCGCTCTGTCTTTCTGTCTCGCTCTGTCTTTCTGTCTCGCTCTGTCTTTCTGTCTCGCTCTGTCTTTCTGTCTCGCTCTGTCTTTCTGTCTCGCTCTGTCTTTCTGTCTCTCTCTCATCCCTAATGGTGTGTGTTTTAATGAGAACTCTGCTGTGGTACTACAGTGTGGTTGCTGTGGTGATTTGCACATCAGAGGCTGATGCTTCAGTCCCAGAAGAACTCAAAGTGCTGACACACACACACTTCACTTATCGGTACACTCAATGAAACACACACACACACACACACACAACACACACACACACACACACACCACGCATCAATACGTGACTCAATGACACACACACACACACACTGAATCCCTCACTGCACTTTGACCCCACTTCTCTCTCATTAAGGCAATAGCCTAGTTTAAACCTGGATGTTAAATCAATGATCAATCCACATGATGTATGTGCAGTGCTTCTGCTAGCCCAGTCCAATAGTTTAAAGGTCTACTGGATGGAAAATTCCAGGAACTTTCCACAAATTCTTAGGTTTAAGTTAATGTAGTGAGGGTTGAACATTTTAATGTCAAACGTATAGGCATTGGCTTAATCCACCAACCAATCACTTTCCTCTAGCCTCGCAGTCGTGATTCGCTAAAATGAAATTACATATTTTACTGCGTTAGGTCACTCCCATAGAATTCTGTGGTCACTCCCACACTGTGCACAATAGGTTGTGGATGAGGTTAAGCTGAGTGAGAGGCAATGTTTGTGATCCAATGTTTCTCTGTGATCCAATGTTTCTCTGTGATCCAATGTTTCTCTGTGATCCAATGTTTTCTCTGTGATCCAATGTTTTCTCTGTGATCCAATGTTTCTCTGTGATCCAATGTTTCTCTGTGATGAGTAACAAAGCTGTTTCCCCCTCATACTCTTCCTACAATACTTGTCAGTTTTGAATGATACATATTGCCCTCACACCAATGTATTATTTCTATTCCCCCCCCCCCCCCAGCTCCAGGTGCCCATGCTCCTGCCCCTCTGGCCCCTCCCTTCCGGCAGATGAGTTGTCAGCTGCTCTGGCGTAGACCCAGCCGCACTCCAACAGCCAGATAGTACCCCTGCCCCCGCCCTGCCGGGAGACAGCAGACTACATTACCCAGCATGCCCTCCACTGTGCGGGTGGGCAGTCTGAAGGACCCGGAGGTAGCTGAGCTGTTTTTCAAGGAAGACCCCGAGAAACTGTTCTCTGACCTCCGAGAGATAGGACATGGCAGCTTCGGAGCCGTCTACTTCGTATGTACACACACACAAACACACACACATCACACACACACAAACATACACACACACACAAACATACACATCACACACACACAAACATACACACACAAACACACACAGATTCCTGTGCTGTAATAGTCCTGCTGTTCCACATGTGTGTTCTGTCTGTGTCTAAGGCCTGTGTGTTCTCTGTCTGTGTCTAAGGCCTGTGTGTTCTCTGTCTGTGTCTAAGGCCTGTGTGTTCTCTGTCTGTGTCTAAGGCCTGTGTGTTCTCTGTCTGTGTCTAAGGCCTGTGTGTTCTCTGTCTGTGTCTAAGGCCTGTGTGTTCTCTGTCTGTGTCTAAGGCCTGTGTGTTCTCTGTCTGTGTCTAAGGCGCGGGATGTGCGAACTACTGAGGTGGTGGCCATCAAGAAGATGTCCTATAGCGGGAAGCAGTCCAACGAGGTGAGACGGACTACAACACATTACTTCCTTTCTGTCTTTATTAAGTTTATTTCAACCAGGACAACAAGTCTCAGACGGTACACTTGGGAAATGATGCGCTGCACCAGATTGAGTTCACACACTCAGATAGAAATATGTGAGCTGAACACATTGTGTCACACTCCAAGGTCACCCCATGGCACTCAGACACACTCACTCTCGCCTCGCTCTCCTCCTAATTTCAGATTAGCTGTAATCAGATTACACCTAATCTGTGTAGGAAGAAAACCACCCCAGTAGACAGACAGACAGACACATCGTTCAGTATGTACAGTGGGGGAAAAAAGTATTTAGTCAGCCACCAATTGTGCAAGTTCTCCCACTTAAAAAGATGAGAGAGGCCTGTAAAAAAAAATCCAGAAAATCACATTGTAGGATTTTTAATGATTTTATTTGCAAATGATGGTGGAAAATAAGTATTTGGTCACCTAGAAACAAGCAAGATTTCTGGCTCTCACAGACCTGTAACTTCTTCTTTAAGATGCTCCTCTGTCCTCCACTCGTTACCTGTATTAATGGCACCTGTTTGAACTTGTTATCAGTATAAAAGACACCTGTCCACAACCTCAAACAGTCACACTCCAAACTCCACTATGGCCAAGACCAAAGAGCTGTCAAAGGACACCAGAAACAAAATTGTAGACCTGCACCAGGCTGGGAAGACTGAATCTGCAATAGGTAAGCAGCTTGGTTTGAAGAAATCAACTGTGGGAGCAATTATTAGGAAATGGAAGACATACAAAACCACTGATAATCTCCCTCGATCTGGGGCTCCACGCAAGATCTCACCCCGTGGGGTCAAAATGATCACAAGAACGGTGAGCAAAAATCCCAGAACCACACGGGGGACCTAGTGAATGACCTGCATAGAGCTGGGACCAAAGTAACAAAGCCTACCATCAGTAACACACTACGCCGCCAGGGACTCAAATCCTGCAGTGCCAGACGTGTCCCCCTGCTTAAGCCAGTACATGTCCAGGCCCGTCTGAAGTTTGCTAGAGTGCATTTGGATGATCCAGAAGAGGATTGGGAGAATGTCATATGGTCAGATGAAACCAAAATATAACTTTTTGGTAACAACTCAACTCGTCGTGTTTGGAGGACAAAGAATGCTGAGTTGCATCCAAAGAACACCATACCTACTGTGAAGCATGGGGTTGGAAACATCATGCTTTGGGGCTGTTTTTCTGCAAAGGGACCAGGACGACTGATCCGTGTAAAGGAAAGAATGAATGGGGCCATGTATCGTGAGATTGAGTGAAAACCTCCTTCCATCAGCAAGGGCATTGAAGATGAAACGTGGCTGGGACTTTCAGCATGACAATGATCCCAAACACACCGCCCGGGCAACGAAGGAGTGGCTTCGTAAGAAGCATTTCAAGGTCCTGGAGTGGCCTAGACAGTCTCCAGATCTCAACCCCATAGAAAATCTTTGGAGGGAGTTGAAAGTCTGTGTTGCCCAGCGACAGCCCCAAAACATCACTGCTCTAGAGGAGATCTGCATGGAGGAATGGGCCAAAATACCAGCAACAGTGTGTGAAAACCTTGTGAAGACTTACAGAAAACGTTTGACCTGTGTCATTGCCAACAAAGTATTGAGAAACTTTTGTTATTGACCAATTACTTATTTTCCACCATAATTTGCAAATAAATTCATTAAAAATCCTACAATGTGATTTTCTGGATTTTTTTTTCTTATTTTGTCTGTCATAGTTGACGTGTACCTATGATGAAAATTACAGGCCTCTCTCATCTTTTTAAGTGGGAGAACTTGCACAATTGGTGGCTGACTAAATACTTTTTTCCCCCCACTGTATATATGCCATATATGAGAACAAACACTTGATGAAGACCTACAATGTTCTCTGTAGGTTTTGTGTTCATTCAGAGTGATCTGAGTATTCACTCTGCGCTCATCTTATTTCCCCAGGTGTGTTGGTTCACCATGTCTCCACAGAAATGTATTCAAAGAAGTCTTTATTTTATATAGCTTATTCTTAATTTTCTCTCTCCTTCTCCCACTCTCTTTTCACTCTCTCCCTCCCTCTCTCTCTTCTTTTAATGATGGAACTATTGGGCCAATAAAGGTATTATTTTTTAAATAAAACAATATCTCTCTTAGAAATGGCAGGACATCATAAAAGAGGTGAAGTTTCTCCAGAAGATTCAACATCCCAACAGCATAGAGTACAAGGGCTGCTACCTACGAGAACACACAGCATGGGTAAGACACACACACACACACACACACACACACACACACACACACACACACACACACACACACACACACACACACACACACACACACACACACACAGTGGAGTATATGGAGGGCTGCTACCTATGAAACACAGAAAAACACACCCTCCCACACATTTTGAGGTTAAAAATCACGTTGAGGTGTTTCAGTAACCTTACATACAGGTGTATATCCATTGACCTGTTTTCTTCCTGTGTGTGTTCTCTGTGTGGTTCTAGCTGGTGATGGAGTACTGTCTGGGCTCAGCCTCTGATGTTCTAGAAGGTAAAACATTCTACAAACAATAACTTCTATTTGTGTTGTACTACATTCTAGAAACATTAACCCTTCTATTTGGGGTTGTACTACGTCAAGTCGTCAACTTAGACTGTGTTTGACACTGTGTTTTACTTGTGAAATAATTCTTAACAAATGTTTTCTAAAATATTCTCTCTCACTCATCTTGTAGTTCATAAAAATCCCCTTCAGGAAATGGAGATCGCTGCCATTACCCACGGTGCTTTGCAGGGGTTGGCCTACCTTCACTCCCACAACATGATTCACAGGTGAGTGTTTACCAGACAGTTAGAGGATAACACAGAAACACGCTGATAAGATTACACCTACTGAACAAGATTAGCATGTGGTCCAAAGTACTGTTTTGAAATCTCTCTCCTTCCCTTCCCCCACCTCTCTTCCTCCCTCTCTCCGTCCCTCCCCCCAGAGACATCAAGGCTGGTAACATACTCCTGACGGAGCCAGGGCAGGTCAAGCTAGCTGACTTTGGCTCCGCCTCCATCGCCTCACCAGCCAACTCCTTTGTGGGGACGCCATATTGGTGAGGGACAGCAGAGACCGACAGTCAGTGGGGGGACAAGCTTTGCGACTGGCCGACAACTTTCATGTCTTTACACCAGCTAAACGTACCTGTTATGAACACCATATTGTGAGGACACCAACGACAGTTCAGTGGACGCTTTGACCAGCCAACTTCTTTTCTCTCATCCTCTCTATCCTTCGGCAGGGAAGGAAGTATGCTTATCTCATAACTCACCTCATCTTGTTGCTAAAGTGTCAGTCATGGGAAGAGCCTCTCTCTCCTCGAACTTCTACTCTTCTCAAACTCTCTTCTAACTCTACTCGTCTCATCAATGCCAGCTCTCTGGCTCTCTGCTCTCTAAGCTGACTCTAGACTCTCTCTCGCTCTCTCTCGTTCTCCTCTCTATCTCTCTCTTCTCTCTCTCTCTCTATCCTCTCACTCCTCCTCTCTCTCTCTCCGCCCCCCCCCCTCCTCCCCTCCCCACCACCCCCACCCCCCTCTCCAGGATGGCCCCAGAGGTGATCTTGGCCATGGACGAGGGCCAGTATGACGGGAAGGTGGACGTCTGGTCCCTGGGGATCACCTGTGTAGAACTAGGTAGGTAGGTAGGTGTGTGTGTGGGTGGTTTTCGATTGTTTATATGTGCAACATACTGTGTGTGTGTAAACACTATCTGTGTATGTGACACTGCATAGTGTGTGTGACTAATGTGTGTGTGTGTAACTCTTCTGTCTTGTGTGCAGCGGAGAGGAAGCCTCCTCTGTTTAATATGAACGCCATGAGTGCCTTATACCATATAGCGCAGAATGAGAGCCCTACACTGCAGTCCAGCGACTGGTGAGTGTGTTATATATATACACACACACACACACTAGAGTTTCCATTAGCCGTAAAAAAAAGTTTTGAAACGCAGATAAATGTAATTGGTACCGGCCGATTGTCCGGGAGAAAAAAAAAAAAGAATCCCATTGCGAAATAATGCTTTTTATAATTACTATTTTATTTTTATCATTGTTGGAATACCAGTTGATGTAAATATATTTGACCGGTCATGGTCTATGGGTTAATTTGTATAATTTAGTGGAATTAAATTGGCGTGTGTGCATATTCGTTATACATCTTATCACACGTGGAAAATCTGTCAGACTGCGCTTTTATAAACCCAGTCCTGTTTTTAAAAATAGTTTTTGGGCCACGATTAAAAAGAGCTACTCTTTTTATTTCTCAACTGGTAATTGAAACGCGCTTCCCATTCGCCATTCAAATGTATAGGTAACGGAAGGCAGGCTTCATCAGTGCGTCACACACCACTTTGCAATGAGCTGGAGGCAGTATGGATTTTGTAAACATAGCTACTTAATTGTTTGAAACCTGAACGTTTTACTACATATTATGAGGCATGTTTTACCCGGCTTCAAAGTAGCCTAGGCGGAATCCGTGGAGGCAATTATTTTGATAAATACTTTTTATGAAGACATGCCATTGAAACTAGTAGCCTATTTCTCTTATGTTCTATTGGTTTTCAACTTTCTGTCATTGTCTGGTAGCCAAATGCACATTCCCGTGTAGCCTAATGACTTGTCCGCGTTGCTGCCCTTATAATGTGAAGAAATAATAGTTTATCAGCATTTTAAGCTAAACGTTCTGATCTGTTGCATCTGACTCGTTGCTTTTAAACCTTTTCTTTATGTAGCCGAGGCCTATTGGTTGGATGAGTTTGGGATCTATCGTCCCACAACTGACCCAGAGTGTTTTAGAATAGTTTTTCATTCTCGATAAGCTGACCAATAGAATATGTACACTGTTCTACTATGGGGGATAGTAGATTGACAGAGGCTCATAGGCAGCGCGTCCATAAGGCTAGGGGAAGCTTTCCCTAAGTAAATTTGAATTAAATTGCCAAAATGATATAGCCTAATTAGCCTGCTGTCTATACAGAAATAAATCAAATCATTCCAAATAGGCTACTAAAGCATGATTTGGCCCCAGAGGATCATTAGCTTCCCCTGGCCTTAAAAAATGGTGGATAGTTTTAAATCGCATTGCCTACAGTCGGAAAGAAAGGTCGCACGCGAGGCAAATACCCAATAGATGATTGTTGAGTTGCGACTGTCAGTGAAAAGTAGAGAGGCCCTGCCAGGCAAATCGCAATATTTCTAAATTAAATCGTGGGAAAACATAGTTTGGAAAGCAAATGGCTATTGTTTTAAAGCAAAGACAATGAAAATACTATAATCTGTCTTATAGTTATCAAAATTCTTAACTTAATTGAGCGAACAATAGTAGGCTATAGTCTAGCTTATTGGCACCAGCGGAGAGCATTGGCCATATCCCTGGTGAGCGCGCACTGTGCATATTCACTCTTTATCATTGTTGGGTCAGTGCCACTTAAGTTTGTTTTTGGACAATAGTTTTCTCCTCCTATTGGGATGGACGTCATATTCTATGTGTCTCCCCTTCTCTTAGGCCTATTAAATGGACAACCTCGTTTTTATTGATCTGTTTGTCAGTGTCAGCAGAGTAGGCTACCCTGTAATTTGTCATATTAAAAAAGATTCTAATGTCTCCAGTCATATAAAGTGTAGTAGAATTGCATGAAATGTGTTTTTTTCCCGTGCAAAGAAAGAAGAAATGTATCTGATATAGCCTATAGCCCAGATCTCTATGCTATACACACCCAGCCATGCTTTGAACTGTCTTTTTTGCAAACAGTGATTGAGTTATATTATTAGCCTAAAATATATGACTATCCAATCTACTCATAACATTACTAATAGTAGGCATTATTATAAAGGTGCATTTTATGTTGAAAAGTTGCTTCCCTAAACTTGTCACCCGCCGCCTATGCATAGGTTAGTGATTTTGCTGTTCGTTACTCGCCTTGTTGGCTGAGGAAAAGTAAATGTGGACAGTTATTCTAACATCTTCAAAGTGTGCGGTAAGGACACGTCATTGCATCCTCGACTAGCGTGTTCTGTTAACATTAATGACCATAATCTAAATGTGATTTCTGTCATTCTGAGCACCGTGGGTGGACGCCGTTGGTAAGGGTTAGGGTTATCGTGGGTAAGGGTTAGGGTTATCACGGTTAGGATTATTGTGGGTAAGGGTTAGGGTTATCACGTTTAGGGTTATCGTGGGTTAGGGTTATCATGGTTAGGATTGTTGTGGGTAAGGGTTAGGGTTATCATGGGTTAGGGTTATCACGGTTACGGTTACCGTGGGTAAGGGTTAGGGTTATCACGGTTACCGTGGGTAAGGGTTATCACGGTTAGGGTCATTGTGGGTAAGTGTTAGGGTTATCACGTTTAGGGTTATCGTGGGTAAGGGTTATCACAGTTTGGGTCATTGTGGGTTAGGGTTATCACGGTTAGGGCTATCGTGGGTTAGGGTTATCGTGGGTTAGGGTTATCATGGTTAGGGTTATCGTGGGTTAGGGTTATCACGGTTATGGTTATTGTGGGTAAGGGTTAAGGTTATTGTGGGTAAGGGTTATTGTGGGTAAGGGTTATCGCGGGTAAGGGTTATCGTGGGTAACGGTTATCGTGGGTTAGGGTTATCGTGGGTTAGGGTTATCGTGTGTAAGGGTTATCGTGTGTAAGGGTTAGGGTTATCACTGTTAGGGTTATCGTAGGTGATGGATTTTACTGTTACTTTAATTTAATTGTGACAAAATGTTTTTTTTTTGTCTTGCCCTTTATCCTTCCTTCCCTCCCTCCCTCCCTCCCTCCCTCCCTCCCTTCCTCTCTCTATACAGGACGGATTACTTTAGAAACTTTGTTGATTCCTGCCTTCAGAAAATCCCCCAAGATAGACCCCAGTCTGACCATCTACTGAACGTAAGATTTGAGGTTTTAGGGTGTATTCACACTCTCCTTGCCTTTGAATGAGGACTCGACTCTTTTGCCAGTTCACTTCACCTATTTTTGTGGACTGAGTCCTCATTGCATTCACATCGCTATGTTTAGAAAGGAACCAAGATCTTTTTCCAACATTCACTCAATGGACTCTGGGTTTTACAAAGTGCAGGACAAGCCATTCAATCAGAATGTGTTTTCAGACACCTACTTACATTTTGGAAGCTTATAGATTGCATTTAGTTAAAATATGAGACAAAATAAATGTAATCAGAACATACTATTAACATATAAATATTATTGGTAACAGAATAAATAGCAATAGAATAACTGCAGATTAAATAATGCTGTAATTGAAAATTGTCCACCCAATGTAGGCTACTGCCCCTTTAAGAGCTAGAATAGATTTTCTACCCTATGTTGTGATTCTCACCAAATATGTTGTCTTTTCACTATTCAAACCACACAATGGAATAAACCGCTTATGAAGCTCCCAGCCTATAGGTCACATATTGCAAACAAATAATCGGAACTAAAAACTCCACACACATTTTGGAATTTCTGTGCGTCCTTGACAATCGCTAATCAATATCCAAAAACGGAACAAATGTTTTTTCCGCAAACCTGCACATCATCTTCTCTCTTTTGTGGCACCAATGTGAGGGTTTATGGCAGGGGAAACAGTGTTGCAGTAGTCTAGTGTGTGGGTTTATGGCAGGGGAAACATGTTGGCCAGTAGTCTAGTGGTGAGGGGTTATGGCAGGGGAAACAGTGTTTGCAGTAGTCCTAGTGTGAGGGGTTATGGCAGGGGAAAACAGTGTTGCAGTAGTCTAGTGGTGAGGTGGTTATGGCAGTTAAGTCCTAGTGTGGAGGGGTTTATTATGGCAGTAGTCCTAGTGGGTGAGGGTTTAATGGCCGGTGAAAACAGTGTGGCAGTAGTCTAAGTGTGAGGGGTTATGTCAGGGGAAACAGTGTTGCAGTAGGGTCTCGTGTGAGGGGTTCATGGCAGTAGTCCCTAATGGTGAGGGATTATGGCAGGGGAAACATGTCTGTGCAGTGGTCTAGTGTGAGGTGGGTTATGTCAGGGGGAAACAGTGTTGCAGTAGTCTAGTGTTAGGGGGTTTATGGAGTAGTCTAGGTGTGAGGGGTTTATGGGCAGTAGTCCTAGTGTGAGGGGTTTATGGCAGTGGAAACAGTGTTGGCAGTAGTCTAGTGTGAGGGGTTATGGGCAGGGGAAACAGTGTTTGCAGTAGAGTCTCCGTGTGAGGGAGTATGGCAGGGGAAAAGTGTTGCCAGTAGTCTAGTGTGAGGGGTTATGGCAGGGGAAACAGTGTTTGCAGTAGTCTAGTGTGAGGGTTATGGCAAAATCTAGTGTAGGTTTATGGGGAAGTTTTGCGTAGTCTATGTGAGGTTATGGCAGGGAAACAGTGTTGCAGTAGTCTGTGTGAGGGTTAATGGCAGGGAAACATTGTTGCAGTAGCCCTATGTGAGGGTTATGGCATACCCTAGTGTGAAGGGTTTAATGGCAGGAAACATTGTTGCAGTAGTCTAGTGTGAGGGGTTATGGCAGGGAAACAGGTGCAGAGTCTATGTGAGGGGTTATGGGCAGATTAGTGTTGAGAGGTTATGGCAGGGGACGTGTTGCGTAGTCTAGGGGTGAGGGTTATGGCAGGGAAACAGTGTTGCAGTAGTCTAGTGTGAGGGGTTTATGCAGGGGAAACAGTGTTCAGTAGTCTAGTGTAGGGGTTTATGGCAGGGGAAACAGTGTTGCAGTAGTCTAGTGTAGGGTTTATGGCAGGGGAAACGTGTTGCAGTAGTCTAGTGTGAGGGGTTATGTCAGGGAAACAGTGTTGCATTAGTCTAGTTGTGAGGGGTTTATGGCAGGGGAAACAGTGTTGCAGTATCTAGTGTGAGGGGATTATGGCAGGGGAAACAGTGTTGCAGTAGTCTATGTGAGGGGGTATATGGCAGGGGAAACAGTGTTGCAGTAGTCTAGTGTGAGGGGGTTTATGGCAGGGAACAAGTGGTTGGCAGGTAGTCTAGTGTGAGGGGATTATGCAGGGAAACAGTGTTGCAGTAGTCTAGTGTGAGGGGTTATGGCATGTTAGTCCTAGTGTTGAGGGGGTTATGGCAGGGGGAAATAGTGTTGCAGTAGTCTAGTGTGAGGGTTTATGGCAGGGGAAACAGTGTTGCAGTAGTCTAGTGTGAGGGGTTTTATGGCAGGGGAAACAGTGTTGCAGTAGTCTAGTGTGAGGGTTTATGGCAGGGGAAACAGTGTTGCAGTAGTCTAGTGTGAGGGTTTATGGCAGGGGAAACAGTGTTGCAGTAGTCTAGTGTGAGGGGTTTATGGCAGGGGAAACAGTGTTGCAGTAGTCTAGTGTGAGGGTTTATGGCAGGGGAAACGTGTTGGCAGTAGTCTAGTGTAGGGTTATGGCAGGGGAAACGGTGTTGCTAGTCTAGTGTGAGGGGTTTATGGCAGGGGAAAATGTTGCAGTAGTCTAGTGTGAGGGTTTATTGGCAGGGTAAACAGTGTTGCAGTAGTCTATGTGAGGGTTATGGCAGGGGAAACGGGTGTTGCGTAGTCTAGTGTGGGGGTTTATGGCAGGGGAAACAGTGTTGCAGTAGTCAGTGTGAGGGGTTATGGCAGAAACGTTCATAGTCTAGTGTGAGGTTTATGGCAGGGAAACGGTGTTGCAGTAGTCTAAGTGTGAGGGGTTTATGGCAGGGAAACAGTGTTGCAGTAGTCTAGTGTGAGGGGTTTATGGCAGGGGAAACAGTGTTTGCAGTAGTCTAGTGTGAGGGGTATAATGGTCAGGGGAAACAGGTTTGCAGTAGTCTAGTGTGAGGGGTTTATGGCAGGGGAAACAGTTTTGCAGTAGTCTAGTGTGAGGAGTTTATGGCAGGGGAAACAGTGTTTGCAGTAGTCTAGTGGGAGGGGTTATGGCAGGGGAAACAGTGTTGGCAGTAGTCTAGTTTGAGGGGTTTATGGCAGGGGAAAACAGTGTTTGCAGTAGTCGAGTGTGAGGGGTTATGGCAGTAGTCTAGTGTTGAGGGGTTTATGGGCAGTAGTCCTAGTGTGAGGGTTATGGCAGGGGAAACAGTGTTGCAGTAGTTCCTAGTGTGAGGGGTTTATGGCAGGGGAAACAGTGTTGCAGTAGTCTAGTGTGAGGGGTTATGGCAGGGGAAACAGTGTTGCAAGTAAGTCTAGTGTGAGGGGTTATGGCAGGGGAAACAGTTGTTGCAGTAGTCTAGTGTGAGGGGTTATGGCAGTAGTCTAGTGTGAGGGTTTATGGCAGGGGAAACAGTGTTGCAGTAGTTCTAGTGTGGAGGGGTTTATGGCAGGGGAAACAGTGTTTGCAGTAGTCTAGTGGTGAGGGGTTATGGCAGGGGAAACAGTGTTTGCAGTAGTCTAGTGTGAGGGGTTATGGCAGTAGTCTAGTTGAGGGGTTATGGCAGTAAGTCTAGTGTGAGGGGTTATGGCAGGGGAAACAGTGTTGCAGTAAGTCTAGTGTGAGGGTTATGGCAGGGGAAACAGTGTTGCAGTAGTCTAGTTTGAGGGGTTTATGGCAGGGAAATAGTGTTGCAGTAGTCTAGTGTGAGGGGATATGTCAGGGGAAACAGTGTTGCAGTAGTCTAGTGTGAGGGGTTTATGGCAGGGGAAACAGTGTTGCAGTAGTCTAGTGTTAGGGTTTATGGGCAGGGGAAACAGTGTTGCAGTAGTCTAGTGTGAGGGGTTTATGGCAGGGGAAACAGTGTTGCAGTAGTCTAGTGTGAGGGGTTATGGCAGGGGAACAGTGTTTGCAGTAGTCTAGTGTGAGGGGTTATGGCAGGGGAAACAGTGTTGCAGTAGTCTAGTGTGAGGGGTTATGGCAGGGGAAACAGTGTTGCAGTAGTCTAGTGTGAGGGGTTTATGGCAGGGGAAACAGTGTTGCAGTAGTCTAGTGTGAGGGGTTTATGGCAGGGGAAAACAGTGTTTGCAGTAGTCTAGTGTGAGGGGTTTATGGCAGGGAAACAGTGTTGCAGTAGTCTAGTGTGAGGGGTTATGGCAGTAGTCTAGTGTGAGGGTTTATGGCAGGGGAAACAGTGTTGCAGTAGTCTAGTGTGAGGGGTTATGGCAGGGGAAACAGTGTTGCAGTAGTCTAGTGTGAGGGGTTATGGCAGGGGAAACAGTGTTGCAGTAGTCTAGTGTGAGGGTTTATGGCAGGGAAACAGTGTTTGCAGTAGTCTAGTGTGAGGGTTTATGGCAGGGGAAAACAGTGTTGCAGTAGTCTAGTGTGAGGGGTTTATGGCAAGGGGAAACAGTGTTTGCAGTAGTCTAGTGTGGAGGGGTTTATGGCAGGGGAAACCAGTGTTGCAGTAGTCTAGTGTGAGGGTTTAATGGCAGTAGTCTAGTGGTGAGGGGTTTATGGCATGGGGAAACAGTGTTGCAGTAGTCTAGTGGTGAGGGGTTTATGGCAGTATCTAGTGTGAGGGGTTTTATGGCAGTGGGAAACAGTGTGCCAGTAGTCTAGTGTGAGGGGTTATGGCAGGGGAAACAGTGTTGCAGTAGTCTAGTGTGAGGGGTTTATGGCAGGGGAACAGTGTTGCAGTAGTCTAGTGTGAGGGGTTATGGCATAGTCTAGTGGTGAGGGGTTATGGCAGTAGTCTAGTGTGAGGGTTTATGGCAGGGGAAACAGTGTTGCAGTAGTCTAGTGTGAGGGGTTTATGGCAGGGGAAACGTGTTGCAGTAGTCTATGTGAGGGGTTATGGCAGGGGAAACAGTGTTGCAGTAGTCTAGTGTGAGGGGTTATGGCAGTAGTCTAGTGTGAGGGTTTAATGGCGAGGGGAAAACAGTGTTGTCAGTAGTCCTGTGTGAGGGGTTTATGGCAGGGGAAACAGTGTTTGCAGTAGTCCTAGTGTGAGGGATTATGGCAGGGGAAACAGTGTTGCAGTAGTCTAGTGTGAGGGTTTATGGCAGGGGAAAACAGTGTTGCAGTAGTCTAGTGGTGAGGGGTTATGGCAGGGGAAACAGTGTTGCAGTAGTCTAGTTTGAGGGGTTTTATGGCAGGGGGGAGAAATACCGTGTTGCAGTAGTCTAGTGTGAGGGGTTTGTTCAGGGGAAACAGTGTTGCAGTAGTCTAGTGTGAGGGTTTATGGCAGGGGGAAAACAGTGTTGCAGTAAGTCTAGTGTGAGGGGTTATGGGCAGGGAAACAGTGTTGCAGTAGTCTAGTGTGTGGGGTTTATGGCAGGGGGAAACAGGGTTGCAGTAGTCTAGTGTGAGGGGGATTATGGCAGGGGAAACAGTGTTGCAGTAGTCTAGTGTGAGGGGTTATGGCAGGGGAAACAGTGTTGCAGTAGTCTAGTGTGAGGGTTTATGGCAGGGGAAACAGTGTTGCAGTAGTCTAGTGTGAGATATGGGAATAATGACAAGCGAACCTGGGGAGCTTTGTGTTCACATTGCCCTAAAAAAGTGAACCGGACCGCGGAATTCAAGTGAACCGACCTCAGACCACCACCTCTCGAGATCTCAGTTCGGTTCGCTTCGGGGGCTCTTTTGAGAGGTCTCCGTTCCATTGGAGGGTTCACACTGCACACAAAAATAAGCCAACTGTACTAAAATTGGCTGAAAGGCACCAAGTGTGAAAACACCCTAAGAATAATGCTACGTAAATCCCAACTGGTAAACTATGTAGGCCTAAATTAATATATTCACTTTACCCTCTCCTTCCTCCCCCTCCTCCCTCTCCTTCCTCCCTCTCCTTCCTCCTCCCTCTCCTTCCTCCCCCTCCTTCCTCCCCCTCCTCCCTCTCCTTCCTCCCCCTCCTCCCTCTCCTTCCTCCCCCTCCTTCCTCCCCCTCCTCCCTCTCCTTCCTCCCCCTCCTTCCTCCCCCTCCTCAGCATGCGTTTGTCCAGCGAGAGCGTCCAGACTCTGTTCTGATGGATCTGATCCTGAGGACCAAGGAGGCGGTCAGAGAGCTGGACAACCTGCAGTACCGTAAGATGAAGAAGATCCTATTCCAGGAGGCTCACAACGGACCACAGGCTGAGACACAGGACGGAGACGAGGTGTGTGTGTGTGTGTGTGTGTGTGATGGGAAGAGGAGATGTGTGTGTGTGTGTGTGTGGGGTAGTTTGCATACAATCTTCAGTTCCAATCAGAGCAGAGGTAACAGCCAGGGGATGAAGCTGGACATACTATCTGACCACTCTCTGTTTTTCTATGTGTGTGTCTACATCCGTCTCTGTTTGTCTCCCTGTGAATGTATGAGTCTCTGTCTGTCCGTCTGTGTGTGTCTCTCGCTCTCTCTCTGTCTGTCGGTCTGTCTTTGTCTGTCCGTCTGTGTGTCTCTCTCTCTGTCTGGGTGTCTCTCTCTCTCTCTCTCTCTCTCCCTCTCTCTCTCTCTCTCTCTCTCTCTGTCTGGGTGTCTCTCTCTCTCTCTCTGTCTGGGTGTCTCTCTCTCTCTCTGTCTGGGTGTCTCTCTCTCTCCGTCTGGGTGTCTCTCTCTCTGTCTGGGTGTCTCTCTCTCTCTGTCTGGGTGTCTCTCTCTCGCTGTCTGGGTGTCTCTGTCTCTTTTCTATTTTCTCTCTCTCTGTCTCTGTGTGTCTCTCTCTCTGTCTCTCTCTGTCTAGGAGGTGGAGCACGGTGCCGGTCCTACAGACAGTGTGAACAGTGTGGGCAGTAACCAGTCCATCCCCAGTATGTCTATCAGCTCCCAGAGCAGCTCAGTCAACAGTCTGAACGAAGCAGCACAGGACAACCGCAGTGAACTGGACCTGATGAAGGGAGACCACACGGTCATGTCCAACAGCTCTGTCATACACCTCAAACCGGTGGGTCTACTTCACACACTGAAGTGATGATGCCCGAGTGTGCCAAAATATCCTCTAAACACCGGCTTCGAGGGCATTATCACTTTTATACAATGGGATACCAACATATTCATATAATGATTGACATATTTTCATAAAACTTTATTTTGATACATTTATTCATACTATTTCATCCTTCCACGAGATATAGTCTCGGCACAAATCTCGGGTTGCTCCCCAAGCCGGCTGGTGATTTGTTCGGTTGCCGGAGACGCGACCTAGTCGTTCAGTCTTTTTATTCTTTATCTGTGGACGTTAGTTCTAAATGTTCCATTATCATACTAGTTGGCAAAGTTTTTATCTCTTGCTAGCTAGCTAGCCAACTACGGCTAACTTACAGTCAGGTCAAACAGTGCAGCCAGAATAACAACAGTAGCTGCATTTGTTTAAGCTGCATTTGTTTAAGCTGTTTTTACATTTACATTTACGTCATTTAGCAGACGCTCTTATCCAGAGCCACTTACAAATTGGTGCATTCACCTTATAGCCAGTGGGATAACCACTTTACAATATGTTTTTTTTTTTTGGGGTGGGGTAAGGGGGGGTAGAAGGATTACTTTATCCTATCCCAGGTATTCCTTAAAGAGGTGGGGTTTCAAGTGTCTCCGGAAGGTGGTGAGTGACTCCGCTGTCCTGGCATCGTGAGGGAGATTGTTCCACAATTGGGGTGCCAGAGCAGCGAACAGTTTTGACTGGGCTGAGCGGGAACTGTGCTTCCGTAGAGGTAGGGGGGCCAGCAGGCCAGAGGTGGATGAACGCAATGCCCTCGTTTGGGTGTAGGGTCTGATCAGAGCCTGAAGGTAAGGAGGTGCCGTTCCCCTCACAGCTCCGTAGGCAAGCACCATGGTCTTGTAGCAGATGCGAGCTTCAACTGGAGTTGCAGTAATCTAGACGGGAGATGACAAGTGCCTGGATTAGGACCTGTGCCGCTTCCTGTGTAAGGCAGGGTCATACTCTCCGAATGTTGTAGAGCATGAACCTACAGGATCGGGTCACCGCCTTGATGTTAGCGGAGAACGACAGGGTGTTGTCCAGGGTCACGCCAAGGCTCTTTGCACTCTGGGAGGAGGACACAACGGAGTTGTCAACTGTGATGGCGAGATCATGGAGTGGGCAGTCCTTCCCCGGGAGGAAGAGCAGCTCCGTCTTGCCGAGGTTCAGCTTGAGGTGGTGATCCGTCATCCACACTGATATGTCTGCCAGACATGCAGAGATGTGATTCGCCACCTGGTTATCAGAAGGGAGAAAGGAGAAGATTAGTTGTGTGTCGTCTGCGTAGCAATGACATTTATTTGGATACATCTATAACATTGAGCTAATGATGCGCGATTTCACCTGGCATAGAAAATGTGCTCTCTCGTCAGGACACTGTTGTTCAGAGGAGCTAGCCAACAACACAGCAAACAATCACTTCAAACTGAAGCTGGAAAGACTGCAAACTAGCTGCATTTCATTTCGTTTTACCTGTTTTCTATTGACATTTCTTTGTATATATCCATAAAAATGATGCTGATTCATAATTTCAACTGGCTGAGAAAAGCTGCCTCTCTATCTCGACCCGACTCACGACCCCTACATGTTCTTTACTATGGGACAGCTGGAGATCGAATTTCAATGTTGAAACAATGTTACAAATACAAATCTCCGCTGTTGAAATGAAAAAAATGTGAGATAATGTCTAGATGCTTTTTATAGTGGAGATCAAGTTTATAAAGTGCCTGGCTGGGCTGATGAGACAGTGGATTGAGCAGTCAGATGGAACAGAGTAAATAGGCATTTTAACGTCATAGATTTAGCGGGTGGTAACTTGTGGAATAGACACCGACTGGAATGCAGTTTTAACCAATCAGCGTCCAGGATTAGACCCGTCCGTTGTATAAACTGCTATACATACCACACACACACACCGCTTTACACACCTTGATACACACACACACCGTTTTACACACCTTGATACACACACACACACCGTTTTACACACCTTGATACACACACACACCGTTTTACACACCTTGATACACCACTATATACATGCACACACTGCATATGCACACATGATGATGTTGATGATGATGATGTCTTGGCCAGGAGGAAGATGAGGATTACCATGGTGACCCAGAGGTGCAGGGCTGTCCCACTGAGCCCCCGGCCGCTCCTGCCCAACCCCCCAGGAAACACTACAGAGAACGCAACAGAGAACACTTCGCCACCATACGCACTGCCTCACTGGTGAGAACACACACACACACACACACACACACACACACACACACTGGCTCACTGGTGAGACGTCTCTCTCTTTTATTCTGTTCTGTTATTTGAATATCTGTGTTTGGAAACCCTTTCTCTACATTCCAACAACCACTCAACTCCTTCAACAGGTGACACAATAGCAGACACTGTTATCACAACAGGAAGTTAACAGACCTCTCTCTCTCTCCGTCTTTCTGCCTCTCTCTCTCCCTCTTTTCTCTCCTTCTCTCTCTCCCCAGGTGACTCGTGAGATGCAGGAACACGAGCAGGACAGTGAGCTGAGGGAGCAGATGTCAGGCTATAAGAGGATGAGGCGGCAGCACCAGAAACACCTGATGGGTCTGGAGAACAAGCTGAAGGCTGAGATGGATGAACACCGTCTCCGTCTGGACAAGGAGCTGGAGAGCCAGAGGAACAGCTTTGTCCAGGAGATAGAGAAACTGGTCAAGAGACACCAGGCCACCATGGAGAAAGATGTACGGAGACACACACACAGAGACAGAGATACACACACACACACACACACACACACACACACAGAGACACACACACAGAGACCGAGATACATTACATTTACATTTACGTAATTTAGCAGACGCTCTTATCCAGAGCGACTTACAAATTGGTGCATTCACCTTATAGCCAGTGGGATCACCACTTTACAATTATTATTATTATTATTATTATTATTATTTATTTTTTTGGGGGGGGGGGGGGGGTAGAAGGATTACTTTATCCTATCCCAGGTATTCCTTAAAGAGGTGGGGTTTCAAATGTCTCCGGAAGGTGGTGAGTGACTCCGCTGTCCTGGCGTCGCGAGGGAGCCCGTTCCACCATTGGGGTGCCAGAGATACACACACACACACACACAGAGAGACACACAGAGAGACACACAGAGAGACACACAGAGAGACACACAGAGAGACACACAGAGACAGAGACACATACCAATGATGTATATAAACGCTCAATGACTGACTGTTTTGAAACCACTGGGCAGCCATTTTGGTCCCCCCCCATCCATTGTAAAACAGATTGTGAAGCTATAGAAGTGCTTTTATAAATGTCTACTTTCGTTTTGCCAAGTATATTTTATTACTGTGACCATACTTTTACACAATCCAGGGTTTATACTGTATACCTCATTAATATACACACACGGAGACAAACCTACACACACAGAGACCGAGATATATATATATATATATATATATATATATATATAGATATATATATATATATATATACCACACCACAGAGACCGAGATATATATATATATATATATATATATATATATATATATATATATATACACACACACACACACACAGAGACCGAGATATATATATATATATATATATATATACACACACACACACACAGAGACCGAGAGATATATATATATATATATATATATATATATATATACACACACACACACACAGAGACCGAGATATATATACACACACACACACACAGAGACCGAGATATATATATATACACACACACACACACACACACACACACACACAGAGACCGAGATATATATATATACACACACACACACACAGAGACCGAGATATATATATATACACACACACACACACAGAGACCGAGATATATATATACACACACACACACACACACACACACACACAGAGACCGAGATATATATATATATATATATATATACACACACACAGAGACCGAGATAGATAGATATATATAGATATATATATATATAGATAGATAGATAGATAGATAGATATAAATATCTATATACACACACACACACACACACACACAGAGAGAGAGATATATAGAGATGCATAAACGTCTTTTGCACACAAGAGAAACTGGTCAAAAACATTGATAATGATGTACAGAAACACATGTACAGTGGGGAAAAAAAGTATTTAGTCAGCCACCAATTGTGCAAGTTCTCCCACTTAAAAAGATGAGAGAGGCCTGTAATTTTCATCATAGGTACACGTCAACTATGACAGACAAAATGAGAAAAAAAATCCAGAAAATCACATTGTAGGATTTTTATTGAATTTATTTGCAAATTATGGTGGAAAATAAGTATTTGGTCAATAACAAAAGTTTCTCAATACTTTGTTATATACCCTTTGTTGGCAATGACACAGGTCAAACGTTTTCTGTAAGTCTTCACAAGGTTTTCACACACTGTTGCTGGTATTTTGTCCCATTCCTCCATGCAGATCTCCTCTAGAGCAGTGATGTTTTGGGGCTGTCGCTGGGCAACACGGACTTTCAACTCCCTCCAAAGATTTTCTATGGGGTTGAGATCTGGAGACTGGCTAGGCCACTCCAGGACCTTGAAATGCTTCTTACGAAGCCACTCCTTCGTTGCCCGGGCAGTGTGTTTGGGATCATTGTCATGCTGAAAGACCCAGCCACGTTTCATCTTCAATGCCCTTGCTGATGGAAGGAGGTTTTCACTCAAAATCTCACGATACATGGCCCCATTCATTCTTTCCTTTATACGGATCAGTCGTCCTGGTCCCTTTGCAGAAAAACAGCCCCAAAGCATGATGTTTCCACCCCCATGCTTCACAGTAGGTATGGTGTTCTTTGGATGCAACTCAGCATTCTTTGTCCTCCAAACACGACGAGTTGAGTTTTTACCCAAAAGTTATATTTTGGTTTCATCTGACCATATGACATTCTCCCAATCCTCTTCTGGATCATCCAAATGCACTCTAGCAAACTTCAGACGGGCCTGGACATGTACTGGCTTAAGCAGGGGGACACGTCTGGCACAGCAGGATTTGAGTCCCTGGCGGCGTAGTGTGTTACTGATGGTAGGCTTTGTTACTTTGGTCCCAGCACTCTGCAGGTCATTCACTAGGTCCCCCCCGTGTGGTTCTGGGACTTTTGCTCACCGTTCTTGTTATCATTTTGACCCCACGGGGTGAGATCTTGCGTGGAGCCCCAGATCGAAGGAGATTATCAGTGGTCTTGTATGTCTTCCATTTCCTAATAATTGCTCCCACAGTTGATTTCTTCAAACCAAGCTGCTTACCTATTGCAGATTCAGTCTTCCCAGCCTGGTGCAGGTCTACAATTTTGTTTCTGGTGTCATTTGACAGCTCTTTGGTCTTGGCCATAGTGGAGTTTGGAGTGTGACTGTTTGAGGTTGTGGACAGGTGTCTTTTATACTGATAACAAGTTCAAACAGGTGCCATTAATACAGATAATGAGTGGAGGACAGAGGAGCCTCTTAAAGAAGAAGTTACAGGTCTGTGAGAGCCAGAAATCTTGCTTGTTTGTAGGTGACCAAATACTTATTTTCCACCATAATTTGCAAATAAATTCATAAAAAATCCTACAATGTGATTTTCTGGATTTTTTCTCTCAATTTGTCTGTCATAGTTGACGTGTACCTATGATGAAAATTACAGGCCTCTCTCATCTTTTTAAGTGGGAGAACTTGCACAATTGGTGGCTGACTAAATACTTTTTTTCCCCACTGTACTGTATACCAGAAAACACTCCAGGCTAAACTGGAGAACTACATTGGAGAACTATACTGGAACGTCTAAAAACAGACAAAGTATGGAGGAAATATAATGGACCTACACTACCAGTCAAAAGTTCGGACACACCTACTCATTCTCACCTACTCATTTTTTTACTACACTGCTCAAAAAAATAAAGGGAACACTAAAATAACACATCCTAGATCTGAATGAATGAAATAATCTTATTAAATACTTTTTTCTTTACATAGTTGAATGTGCTGACATAGTGTGTGTGTGTGTGGCCTCCACGTGCCTGTATGACCTCCCTACAACGCCTAGGCATGCTCCTGATGAGGTGGCGGATGGTCTCCTGAGGGATCTCCTCCCAGACCTGGACTAAAGCATCCGCCAACTCCTGGACAGTCTGTGGTGCAACGTGGCGTTGGTGGATGGAGCGACGCATGATGTCCCAGATGTGCTCAATTGGATTCAGGTCTGGGGAACGGGCAGGCCAGTCCATAGCATCAATGCCTTCCTCTTGCAGGAACTGCTGACACTCCAGCCACATGAGGTCTAGCATTGTCTTGCATTAGGAGGAACCCAGGGCCAACCGCACCAGCATATGGTCTCACAAGGGGTCTGAGGATCTCATCTCGGTACCTAATGGCAGTCAGGCTACCTCTGGCGAGCACATGGAGGGCTGTGCGGCCCCCCCCAAAGAAATGCCACCCCACACCATGACTGACCCACCGCCAAACCGGTCATGCTGGAGGATGTTGCAGGCAGCAGAACGTTCTCCACGGCGTCTCCAGACTCTGTCACGTCTATCACATGTGCTCAGTGTGAACCTGCTTTCATCTGTGAAGAGCACAGGGCGCCAGTGGCAAATCTGCCAATCTTGGTGTTCTCTGGCAAATGCCAAACGTCCTGCACGGTGTTGGGCTGTAAGCACAACCCCCACCTGTGGACGTCGGGCCCTCATACCACCCTCATGGAGTCTGTTTCTGACCGTTTGAGCAGACACATGCACATTTGTGGCCTGCTGGAGGTCATTTTGCAGGGCTCTGGCAGTGCTCCTCCTGCTCCTCCTTGCACAAAGGCGGAGGTAGCAGTCCTGCTGCTGGGTTGTTGCCCTCCTATGGCCTCCTCCACGTCTCCTGATGTACTGGCCTGTCTCCTGGTAGCGCCTCCATGCTCTGGACACTACGCTGACAGACACAGCAAACCTTCTTGCCACAGCTCGCATTGATGTGCCATCCTGGATGAGCTGCACTACCTGAGCCACTTGTGTGGGTTGTAGACTCCGTCTCATGCTACCACTAGAGTGAAAGCACCGCCAGCATTCAAAAGTGACCAAAACATCAGACAGGAAGCATAGGAACTGAGAAGTGTTCTGTGGTCACCACCTGCAAAACCAGTCCTTTATTGGGGGTGTCTTGCTAATTGCCTATAATTTCCACCTGTTGTCTATTCCATTTGCACAACAGCATGTGAAATGTATTGTCAATCAGTGTTGCTTCCTAAGTGGACAGTTTGATTTCACAGAAGTGTGATTGACTTGGAGTTACATTGTGTTGTTTAAGTGTTCCCTTTATTTTTTTGAGCAGTGTATTTTTTACATTGTAGAATAATAGTGAAGACATCAAAACTATGAAATAACATATATGGAATCATGTAGTAACCAAAAAAGTTATAAACAAATATATTTCTTATTTGAGATTCTTCAAATAGCCACCCTTTGCTTTGATGACAGCTTTGCACACTCTTGGCATTCTCTCAACCAGCTTCATGAGGTAGTCACCTGGAATGCATTTCAATTAACAGGTGTGCCTTATTAATAGTTAATTTGTGGAATTTCTTTCCTTCTTAATGTGTTTGAGCCAATCAGTTGTGTTGTGACAAGGTAGGGGGGGTATACAGAAGATAGCCCTATTTGATAAAAGTCCAAGTCCATATTATGGCAAGAACAGCTCAAATAATTGCAGCCTTACCGCAAAAGTGGAAGAGGAAAGTTGAAGGGGGAGAAAGTAAGGAACTTGTCTGTCGGCCTTGCATTAAAGAACATAATTGGTTAAGGAAAACTGTGATAAATAAAAAAGTATATCAGTTTCACTTAAGGACCAAAGGATTGACAGCAGTCCCATATAGATTGCAAAATAGTTGGGAAGAGATCTTTGACGTACCGATCCCATGGCATAGTGTTTATGAACTGACACGCAAAACGACACCGGATTCAAAAATTAGAATCTTTCAATTTAAATTATTACATAAAATTCTTGCTACCAATAGAATGTTATTTATATGGGGGATACAATCTTCCCAGCTCTGCAGATTTTGCTGTGAAGAGATAGAATCATTAGATCATTTGTTTTGGTTCTGTCCATTTGTAGCTTGTTTTTGGACACAGGTCCAGGAATGGCTAAAGGATTGCAATATTTACCTGGAACTAACCTTGCAGATAGCATTACTGGGTGATCTGAAAAGTCATAGTCAATCAATCAATAATATAATAATACTTTTAGCAAAAATGTTTATTTTTAATTCACAATCTGTAGAAGCAATGAGAATAGAAAGGTTCAGAACTTTTGTAAAACATCACAGTATGGTTGAAATATATATGGCAAATAGAAATCCTATATGGATGGTGTTAAGAGATAGATGGGAGGTATTGAATAGAGTTGAAGGATGGGACTAATAACAAATAACAACAAATAATAACAAAGATAGTTAATAATGTAAGCATACTGTGTCCATAATAAGTATATAGGTTGTATGTTGGGAGCTTTTGGGAAAGAGCACAGTTAGAAAGATATGGCATTTAGAAGCAAACCGGATGGACATCATGAAAATGATGGGAGAGGTTGAGAGTAGAAGTAGTTCAGGAGCAAAAAAAAAAAAAAAAATATATATATATATATATAGAATTATTGTAAAATTAACTCTGTCCATAAGGTGTAGATAGTAAGTATAGACCGGAAGTAGAGGCCTGGGCGTTGTTGTTCACTAATTTACTCCAAGTAGGGAAAGGATGGTGGGGTTTGAAAAGTAATAAAGGGGAATATATATATAAAAAATAAAAAAAAACATGGGGGATTGGAAGTGATGCAGACAATTACATTGATAGAAGATACAATCTATCTGCAATATTAAGCTGATCCATCCCCCCGAGAAAAAAAAAAAAAAAGAAAAAAAAGAACAGCTCAAATATGCAAAGAGAAACGACATTCCATTATTACTTTAAGACATGAAGGTCAGTCAATACGGAACATTTCAAGAACTTTGAACATTTCTTCAAGTGCAGTCGCAAAAACCATCAAGTGCTATGATGAAACTGGCTCTCATGAGGACCGCTACAGGAATGGAAGACCCAGAGTTACCTCTGCTGCAGAGGATAAGTTCATTAGAGTTACCAGCCTCAGAAATTGCAGCCCAAATAAATGCTTCACAGAGTTCAAGTAACAGACACGTCTCAACATCAACTGTGGGACTGTGTGAATCAGGCCCATGGTCGAATTGCTGCAAAGAAACCACTACTAAAGGACACCAATAATAAGAAGGGACTTGCTTGGGCCAAGAAACACTAGCAATGGACATTAGACTGGAGGAAATGTGTCCTTTGGTCTGGAATCCAAATTGGAGATTTTTGGTTCCAACCACTGTGTCTTTGTGAGACGCGGTGTGGGTGAACGGATGATCTCCGCATGCATTTCCCACCGTAAAGCATGGAGGAGGAGGAGGTGTTATGGTGTGGGGGGTGCTTTACTTGAGACTGTCTGTGATTTTATTTAGAATTCAAGACACACTTAACCAGCATGGCTACCACAGCATTCTGCAGCGATACGCCATCGCATCTGGTTTGGGCTTAGTGGGACTATCATTTGTGTTTCAACAGGACAATTACATTTACATTTTAGTCATTTAGCAGACGCTCTTACCCAGAGCGACTTACAGTTAGTGCATACATTATTTTATCGAACCCACAACCCTGGCGTTGCAAACACCATGCTCTACCAACTGAGCTACATCCCCTGCCGGCCAAATCCCTCCCCTACCCTGGACGACGCTGGGCCAATTGTGCGCGCCGCCCCATGGGTCTCCCGGTCGCGGCCGGCTACGACAGAGCCTGGATTCGAACCAGGATCTCTAGTGGCACAACTAGCACTGCGACACATGACCCAACACACCTCCAGGCTGTGTAAGGGCTATTTAACGAAGAAGGAGAGTGATGGAGTGCTGCATCAGATGACCTGGCCTCCACAATTCCCAGACCTCAACCCAATTGAGATGGTTTGGGATGAGTCGGACTGCAGAGTGAAGGAAAAGCAGCCAACAAGTGCTCAGCATATGTGGGAACTCCTTCAAGACAGTTGGAAAAGCATTCCAGGTGTAGCTGGTTGAGAGAATGCCAAGAGTGTGCAAAGCTGTCATCAAGGCAAAGGGTGGCTGTTTGAAAAATCTCAAATCTCAAATATATTCTGATTTGTTTAACACTTTTTTGTTACTACATGATTCCATTTGTGTTATTTCATAATTTTGATGTCTTCACTATTATTCTAGTAAAAATAAAGAAATACCCTTGAATGAGTTGGTGTGTCCAAACTTTTGACTGGTACTGTATATATTTAGAAAATTACTGCCCTTTTTCTGGCCCGCAAATTAATTGATTGATTGATTGATTGAATTTCTAAATCCTGATGTGGCCCTTGAGTCATCTCTGCTATACACACTCCACACAGAGGACAATGAGAACTAAATACATTGCACCTGCAACTCCTGTTCATGCGGTTTTCTCTCTGTCTTGTGTGTGTGTGTGTGTGTGTGCGTGCGCGCAGGCGAAGACCTTTACCAACGATGAGAAGAGGTTCCAGCAGCACATTCAGGTCCAGCAGAAGAAAGAACTCAGCAGCTTCCTGGAGTCTCAGAAACGAGAGTACAAACTACGCAAGGAGCAGCTTAAAGAGGTACACACACACACACACACTATATATAATATATATACATATTATATATATACACACACACACTTATATATACATATATACACACAGTGCATTCGGAAAGTATTCAGACCCCTTCCCTTTTTCCACATTTTGTTACTTTACAGCCTTATTCTAAAATGGATTAAATAAAAAAAATCCCCATCAATCTACACACAATACCCCATAATGACAAAGCGAAAACAGATTTTTAAGAAATCTTTGCACATTTTATTAAAATAAAAAACCTACCTTATTTACATAAGTATTCAGACCCTTTGCTATGAGACACAAAATTGAGCTCAGATGCATCCTGTTTCTATTGATCATCCCTGAGATTTTTCTACAACTTAAATTCAAGTGATTGGAAATTATTTGGAAAGGGGCACACCTGTCTATGTAAGGTCCTACTGTTGACAGTGCATGTCTGAGCAAAAACCAAGCCATGAAGTCAAAGGAATTGTCCATAGAGCTCCGAGACAGGATTGTGTCGAAGCACAGATCTGGGGAAGGGTACCAAAAAATGTCTGCAGCATTGCAGGTCCCCAACAACACAGTGGCCTCCATCATTCTTAAATGGAAGAAGTTTGGAACCACCAGGACTTCCTAGAGCTGGACGCCCGGCCAAACTGAGCAGTCAGGGGAGAAGGGCCTTGGTCAGGGAGGTGACCAAGAACCCAATGGTCACTTTGACAGAGCTCCAGAGTTCCTCTGTGGAGACGGGAGAACCTTCCAGAAGGACAACCATCTCTGCATCACTCCACCAATCAGGCCTTTATAGTAGAGTGGCCAGACGGAAGCCACTCCTCAGTAAAAGGCACATGACAGCCCGCTTGGAGTTTGCCAAAAGGCACCTAAAGGACTCAGACCATGAGAAACAAGATTCTCTGGTCTGATGTAACCAAGATTGAACTCTTTTGCCTGAATGCCAAGCGTCATGTCTGGAGGAAACCTGGCACCATCCCTACGGTGAAGCATGGTGGTGGCAGCATCATGCTGTGGGGATGTTCTTCAGCGGCAGGGACTGGGAGACTAGTCAGGTTCGAGGGAAAGATGAACGGAGCAAAGTACAGAGAGGTCCTTGATGAAAACCTGCTCCAGAGCGCTCAGGACCTCAGACTGGGGCGAAGGTTCACCTTCCAACAGGACAACGACCCTAAGCACACAGCCAAGACAACACAGGAGTGGCTTCGGGATAAGTCTCTGAGTGTCCTTGAGTGGCCTGGATTTGAACCCGATCTAACATCTCTGGAGAGACCTGAAAATAGCTGTGCAGTGACGCTCCCCATCCAACCTGACAGAGCTAGAGAGCATCTGCAGAGAAGAATGGAAGAAACTCCCCAAATACAGATGTGCCAAGCTTGTAGCGTCATACCCAAGAAGACTCAAGGCTGTAATCGCTGCCAAAAGTGCTTCAACAAAGTACTGAGTAAAGGGGTTGAATACTTCTGTAAATGTTTATTTTTTTGATATATTTGCACAAAATTCTAAATACCTGTTTTTGCTTTGTCATTATGTGGTATTGTGTGTAGATTGATGGGAATTTTTTTTTAAAATCCATTTTAGAATAAGGCTGTAATGTAACAAAATGTGTAAAAGTCAAGGGGTCTGAATACTTTCCGAATATGCGCGCGCGCACACACACACACACACACACACGGGTAACGCTGCTTCGTGGGTGAACAGGGACAGGGACTACTTCGCGCCCCTCGTTCGAGCCCAGTGTTGGACAGGAACAGGGATGGAAGCAACACTGTTACATTGATGCTGTTGACCCGGATCACTCAGTTGGGCTATGCCCGGCTGCTGGGGTTGCTGCGGAGACCAGGTCAAAGGAGGGTGAGTTTAGCCAATATGGAACGGCTAGCTAGGTAGCTGTTATTGATATGGAACGGCTAGCTTAGGTAGCTGTTAGTGCGTGGTAGACTAGTAGAGTCCATCTTTGACGTCAACTAATCTAGAAGTAGTTCTGAAGGGCTATGGCTTCAGTAGCACTCAGGGTAATGGCACATTTAAATTTGAGGGATGCGGGACAATTTAAGCAACAGAGCTTATATGTGAGAGTTCGTAGCAGTCTAGTCTTGCGTGACCATCCTTCCAGATCTTGTCTCGTTGACTCGACTATTGGGAGTCTGAGGAACTTCAGTATTAGATTTTGCGATTGAATGGGAGCCCTGGCATTCAACGCTCGCAATTGATTGGCTCTTGAGTAGAAATGCGTTTTTTCCTCAGAGGCATTTCCTTTTCGCCATCACAGACAACATTTTAGTAGCCTGTGTCATATGCTGCTAGCTTGTTGCAAATCAGAATCACAAACTGTTAGGAGCTCAACCAATGTAAATATGTGATTGGTTTGGTAAGTGGCAACTTATTGCTACTAGTTTCTGTCATACCCCGCCCAATTTGATCTTTTTCCTGAGGAGAACTTCACCAGACTGAGGCTAGGAGCAGTCGGACTACACATCTGATTTACTTTTAAGTAGTTTATAGTTTAAAGTGAAAGGATAGTTCACACAAATTACAAAATGACATTTTACCCTGTAAGCAGTCTATGGACAAGGTATGTCAGCAATCCAAAACCAAAGCATGGATTGCTGTCATACCCTGTCCATATACAAGCTTTAAAAAATGAACGCTGCTTTGTAGGTGGCGTGATGATGTGGTCAGAGGGTCCCTGGTTCGCGCGCACACACACACACACACACACACACACACACACACACACACACACACACACACACACACACACACACACACACACACACACACACACACACACACACACACAACGTGGAACAGGACCTGGAACGAGAGGTGTACACACACACACACACACACACATACACTGAAACACAAGGAGCAGCTGGAAGAGGTAAACACACTCTCACTCCTCTCTGTCCTGTAGGAGTTGAGTGAGAACCAGTCGACCCCTAAGAAGGAGAAACAGGAGTGGCTGTCCAAACAGAAGGAGAACATCCAGCACTTCCAGGTACAGTACAAATTACATCAACGCAAATGATCAAGTTACATTGAATTTAATTATCAAGTTACATCAGCGCAAATGATCAAGTTACATTGAATTTAATTATCAAGTTACATCAACGCAAATGATCAAGTTACATTGAATTTAATTATCAAGTTACATCAACATGAATTATCAAGTTACATTGAATTTAATTATCAAGTTACATCAACATGAATTATCTAGTTACATTGAATTATCAAGTTACATCAACGCAAATGATCAAGTTACATTGAATTTAATTATCAAGTTACATCAACATGAATTATCAAGTTACATCAACGTCAATTATCGAGATAAAAACTGTTAACAGGATTTAAAATGTAAAGCAACACTTTGTTTTACTAACATAAAGAGTATCATATATGCATATGGTAATCCTTACTTGGTTCATAATGCATTATATTTGTTGACTTTTGGTAAAGATTTCTGATAGTGTACAAAGTATAATTATCATCTCAAATGATAATCGCGATTAGAACCAAATAGCGTAACACTGTTAAGTTATTATCTAAACTGTGTTTATCGTAGAGATATATTCTGAGGCTGGTCTTAAGGCATTATGAGGCTTGTACATGCTTATAACTAGATATAAAGCATAAGATCTTGATGCTTTAAGTGAAATGTTACCATGGTCTCTCGCCTGTTTTTACTGTTGTACTTGTATATATTTTTTACAATACAAAAGACAACATACAGATGCACACAAACATCAACAACATCACACCTGCCCAGACCCACCTGTTCTCAGCCCTATCTCCAGTGCCTGCACTACTCTCCGCCAAGTCCTCAAATTGCACCATTATGTTCCTCTCCGTCTCGCCCACTCTCTTTCAATATTCAGATAATGAATCGTATGATTTTTCCATTGTCTTAACGATGGAGGATTGGTTGATTTCCAGTTTTTAAGTGTATGTTTTTTTTTTTTAAGATAATTGATGAGAGTCGGGTATCTCTATTGTTGTACTCTCTTCATGGATCTGTCTAGAAATGTATGGTGTTTTTCTTGTATTATTCATTTATGCATGTGAAGTACTTTGCACTGCATTTTTATGTTACAAAATGTACTATATAAAATATTATACAATATATGCCAGAGCAGACGCTTTTATCCAAAGCAACTTAGTAATTCCTGAGCGGGAATCAGATCCACAGCCCTTGGTGTTGCATATCCATGCTTTACCAGCTGAGCCACACTGTAAAGTAAAGTTTGATGTGATTTGTCAGGCTGAGGAAGAAGCCAACCTGTTGAGGAGACAGAGACAGTACCTGGAGTTGGAGTGTCGACGCTTCCGACGGAGGATACTCATAGCCAGGCACAACGTGGAGCAGGACCTGGCACGAGAGGTACGTGAAAGGTTATTGCTCAACACATGAACATTCCTCTCCTTTCGCAATCCATTTATTTTTAATTATTCTCCATCCTCCCCCCTCTCCTCTCTTTTAACCCCCTCTCCTCCATTTCTGTTTCAACCCCTCTCTCCTCCTGCCTCCCCCCCCCCCCCCCAGTAACCGAAAGGTCGCTACTTCGAATCCCCAAGCCATCAAGGTGAAAAATCTGTTGATGTGCTCCAGGGTCGCCGTTGATAATGGCTGACCCTGTTCTTGGCCCAACTCTCTGAGGGGGTCTCGGGGAGTTGGGATATGCAACAAAAAAAAACATTTCCATTTCAAACATGCGTATAAAACATAACTGTACATGTGTGAAACAAACATAAGCACCCACCGAATGATGATTATTATATTACTTGTCTCTCCCTCCATCCCTCTCTCCTCTCTCTCTCTCTTCTCTCTCTTCTCCCTCTCTCTCAGGAGTTGAATAAGCGTCAGACCCAGAAGGACCTGGAGCATGCCATGCTGCTCAGACATCACGAGTCGATGCAGGAGCTGGAGTTCAGACATCTGGGAACCATCCAGAAGATGAGGGCGGAGCTTATCAGGACTCAGCACCAGACGGAACTGACCAATCAGCTGGAGTACAACAAGAGGAGGGAGAGAGAGCTGAGACGCAAACACGTCACGGAGGTCCGACAGCAGCCCAAGAGTTTAAAGGTCAGGAACACACAGACACTGGCATATACACCCCCCCCCCCCCCCCCACCTCCACACACACCTATTTTACTGTCCCCCACTCTCTCCCCCCAGTCTAAGGAGCTGCAGATTAAGAAGCAGTTCCAGGACACGTGCAAGATCCAGACACGTCAGTACAAGGCCCTGAGGAACCACCTGTTGGAGAGCGCTCCCAAGGCCGACCACAAGGCGGTGCTCAAGAGGCTGAAGGAGGAGCAGACCAGGAAACTGGCCATCCTGGCCGAGCAGTACGACCACTCTATCAACAACATGCTGTCCACACAGGCTGTGAGTACCACACACACACACACATTGTGTAGTCTCTCTAAACAGGTATCAAACACAGGCAAATTAAAAACTAAGTTTCGGAAAGACCTAACAAGGATATATGTTCAATCCCTAGTCCTAACCCCAAAGGGCTACTGTTTGTACTAGGGCTGCATAATTAATCAAATTCACGTCGAAATCGCAATATTGACATGTGCAATCCATATTGCAAGTGGTCCATATCGCATGCAATTTTTGTAATGTCAGTTTTTTAATACTTTTTGTCTGATCCTTCCCTCTCTCCTCTTGCGGCTGCTTCCCACACACACCAAGCCCCGCCCCCTGTCAATCAACCAGCGCTGTTCCTCCTCCTCTCTGTTACATGCCGTTTGCATGCTGTTCTGTTAGGTCAACAACAACCATGCTGCTTTCCACTTTCTTTCTGTTTCTCTTTCCAAGTGTTTGATCTTTGTCGCAAGTCCAAGAATCTTCATTTTTGGCCGTATCGTGCAGCCCTAGTTTATACCGTATTGCTAGTACTATCCAATCATTTCAGATCTAATTACTACTTGTCTCCACCTTTTTGTTTTGTCCCCGCCCTCTGTCCGCCCCTCTCCCTCCCCAGCTGCGATTGGACGAGGCCCAGGAAGGGGAGTGTCAGGTGCTGAGGATGCAGCTTCAGCAGGAGTTGGAGCTGCTGAACGCCTACCAGAGTAAGATCAAGATGCAGACAGACGCCCAGCACGACAAAGAGAGGAGGGAGCTGGAGCAGAGAGTATCGCTCCGCAGGGCTCTACTGGAACACAAGGTAGGGACCAGGGGTGTCTGTGTGTGTAATAGAGTAGGTGTTGGCATCGCTGTGTGTTTCTGACTGTCTCTCTTCCCCATCTCTCTCTCTCTCTCTCTCTCTCTCTGTTCGTGTTGTGTGTGTGTTTGTCCCTCCAGATTGAGGAGGAGATGCTGTCTCTGCAGAAAGAGCGTGTGGAGCGGATCAGGTCCCTGTTGGAGCGCCAGGCCAGAGAGATAGAGGCCTTTGACTCAGAGTCCATGAGACTAGGCTTCAGCAACATGGTCCTCTCTAACCTGCAGGGCTCTGGCTCAGAGACACATGGTAGCCCAGGGGGCTGGGGAGGAGGAGGGGGGACCGGACTGTCTCATCATGGTCACAGCCAACACCAGGGGGGTTCCAGCTCACAGCAGCCGTGGGGTCACCCTGTGCTCGCTGGGGGCCCACCTCCCTGGAGCCTGCACCAGCCCTCTGGCGGGGGGAGTCAGAGGGGGGGTGGGGGTGGTGTGGTGGGGGCGGGGGGGGCCAGGAACAGCCCCCTGGCTATGAGGAGAGTGTCGACGTCTGGGAGGGGGGCGGAGCGAACAGGCTATGAGCATGAGCGCCAGCATCACCTCTCAGATCTCCAACGGATCACACATGTCATACACCTAGACACACACACCTGTCATACGCCTAGACACACACACACACACACACACCTAGACAAATGCACACCTACAGACACACACAGGGGGGTGGGGGCAGGAGCCTAGGGGTTTAGAGGGTTGGGTCGGGTAAAAGAAAAAGGGACACAATCCCCAACCCAAAAATTTGGGGGAAAAAAAAAAAAAAATCTTTTAAAGTGCCCTTGAGAAAGGGGGATTAAAACCCAAATTTTGCTCCAGGGTCCCCCGGTTGGTTTAAGGGCCCGACCCCCTTGGCCGTGCCCCCAAATTTTTCCAGGGGGTTCAGGAGAGTGGGATATGAAAAAAAAAAAACCAAAATTTCCCAAATTTCCCAAACATGGTTTTTAATTACAAAAGGGGAAAAATTGTGGGGAAAAGGCCCAGAATAAATTGCAGTAACGCCCCTAAATATATCCCCTCAAATTTCATGACCTGGACTAAAGAAAATTTTTTTATAAAGTCCTGAATTTTGGAAATTTTGGGAGTTTTGTTAAGGGAAAAAATTTGGGTTTTTTTTTTGGGTCCTTTTCCCTAAAAGGGGTCTGTTTTTTTTTAGAGAGGGTTTTTTTACGGGGGGTTTCTCAGGGAAAGGGAAACCCCGTTTGAGGGGGTTTAACATACAAAAGGGACGGGTTACAAAACACCCGAGGGGGGTACCTAAACCCAGGGGGGTTAATACGCAGGGGGGTACATACACCGACGGTAATCCCGCAGGGGGGGGTTTACTTTAAGCGGGACGGGGAAACATACAGCAGGGGAGGTACAACAGCAAAAAGGGTACTTTACAGCGACGGGGGCAACGCAGAGGGGGTACAACAGCGGGACAGGAACTACACAGCGGGAAGGAAACATACAGCAGAAAAGGGACATAAGAAAAGGACAGGTACTTAAAGCAGAGGGGTACAAACAGCAGGGGGGTTACTAAGAGGGGGGGGACATAAAAAAAAGGGGGGGGTTAAAAAAAACAAGGAAGGGGACGGGTAAAACGCAGGGGGGGAAATTCCCAGAAGAGGGGAAACTTTTACAGCAGACGGGGGTACATACCCCCAGAGGGGGAAACATTAAAGCGGGGACGGGGTACATACGCGAGGGGGGGACTACAGCAAAAAGGGTTTACATCAGCAGACGGGGAAATACCCCCGACAGGTACTTTACAGCGAGGGGGACATCACAGACAGGTACATAAGCAGGGGGGGGTTAATACAGCAGGGGGGACTTCCCGCAGAGAGGATAAACAGCGAGAGGACATACACCCGACGGGGTACATACGGGCAGGGGGGGGGAAACTTTACAGCAGGGGGGGGTTAATACAGCAGAGGGTAAAACGCAGAAAAGGTACAACAGCAGACAGGTACATACAGCAGAGGGGTACATACAGCAAAAGAGGTAATACACTACAGCTGGTTGTGGCAACGGGTTTTTAAACAAATTAACAAAACCCAACGGGTTGTCATACACCAAACACACACACACACCCAGGTCCAACTGTTACATTATCACACAGCTGGTCTTCCACACACATACGCAAACACACATATAAGGTAGGGAGCATACACAGTGGATACAGCACCCTAGGTTGGGAGTCATAGGGGAAAAAAATCCTATATATCTTCTATCATAAAATCGAGAGGCTAACGTCATACGTAAGGAGAGAGATAAAGAGAGAGCGATCTATCGCAGATCGAGCATAGACAGAGCGCGGGACAACGCTCTAGTGATCTACTATCAGATCTGATAGGAGCGCGCGCCACTATCTCGAATAGTCGCGTAATCTCGCAGAATACTCGGCTCTATCCATAATCGTCCCAGCTCTATAGATCTCCTTATCATATCGATCTAGAGAATATAGGTCATTCCACTCTTAGATAGATATCTCACAAGCTTCTCTTCTCTCCTCTCCGCGTCTCTTCTCTATTCTCCTCTCTCATCTCTCTCTCTGTTATCGTCTCTCTCTCTACTCTCTCTCTCTTGTCATCTCTCTCTGATCTATTCTCTCTCTATCTCTCCTCTCTCTGTCTGTCTGTGTCTCTCTCTCTTCCACACTGTCATCCTCTCGCCATACTGATAATGTATATACCAGGGATGGGCAACTAGCCCCCCTTTTGTAGCCCCGCGGATCAAATTTCACCCCCCAAAAAAGAAGTTATATTTTGGAACCCAGTCGGGGTCTCAGCTTAGTGTTGAGCGTTACAATAGTACATTTGGTTGTTCATCAGCAGTTTTTTACAAAATTTCACTTGGGGCCTCCAGAAGGCTAGGGTGGGTATAGATGTGGGTACACAGACCCACAAGCCACTGCGGCCCCTCGTGACGAGTTCCAACATTTTTTTGTGGCCCTCACCCCGTCAAAGTTGCCCGTCCCTGGTATAGACTGACTGGAGACAGTGGAAAGTCCACCGTAACCACGTTAGAACGTACTGTAGCTGGACCGTGGTCTGTTAAACCGTGTCAGTGTCCTGTTGTTTGCCATAGTGCAGGATGCCATAGACCTACACACACACTGAGTCACTTTTTAAAAAAAAAAGCACTTTACGTTTGGCAATCCTTTACTTCAGTGTTTCCCAACTCCAGTCCTCCAGTCCCCCCAACAGTACACATTTTAATTGTAAACCTGGACAAGCACACTGATTCAACTAGTCAAACTAATCTCAAGCCTTAATGAGCTGAATCGGGTTTGTGTTTGTCCAGGGTAGAACACAAATGTGTACGCGGGGTACCGGAGGACCAGGGTAGACATTTACTGTAAGGATTTATAGACATTTACATGTAAGGGACTATAGACATTTAAATTACGGGTAAGGACTATAGACATTTAAGTAAGGATATAGACGTTAATGTAAGGACTTAGACAGTTACATGTAAGGACTATAGACGTTAATGTAAGGACTATAGACAGTTACAGTAAGGACTATAGACAGTTACATGTAAGGAATAGACATTACAGTAAGGACTATAGCAGTTACATGTAAGGACTATAGACAGTTAATGTAAGGACTATAGACATTACATGTAAGGACTATAGACATTTAAAATGTAAGGACTATAGACAGTTACATGTAAGGACTATAGACAGTTACATGTAAGGACTAAGACAGTTACATGTAAGGACTATAGACAGTTACATGTAAGGACTATAGACAGTTACATGTAAGGACTATAGACAGTTACATGTAAGGACTATAGACAGTTACATGTAAGGACTATAGACAGTTACATGTAAGGACTATAGACAGTTACATGTAAGGACTATAGACAGTTACATGTAAGGACTTAGACAGTTACATGTCACTACTTGTTTTGAGGCTGAATATCTACTACAGTACCAACAGTGAGGTCAAACAACAAAATCATAAATACCCAGCATTGAGATTGACTTATTTCCCTTCCTGAAACATAATAGGGTTTGTTTTGAACATGACACAGAAAGACTGAGGAAGAGGAACATTGTGGAAAGGTTGTCAGTCAGTGGAGGTTGGAGATACAGACCAAACATTTTGGAGAGGTAATGCTTATCCAGGAATGAGAATGTACAAGTTATAATAATAATAATAATATATTCCCGCCTACACCCTATGACTAGTCTCACGTTGTCAAGCCTCCAAAATCACGTCGTTGTCACGTCTCCCTTACCGGTCTGGAGAATTGTGTATTGCAAGAACGGTTTGAATGGTATCGCTGGCTTCCCAGCGGCAAGATTTTGATTGGATGTTACATTTCAAGAACCCTCCCCCACATGCCCGTTGGTGCACCGTGTTGACGTGTTGCAAGGCGTCACTGATTTACACTGGGTTCCCACCCCTATTTAGCAATGAACTTCCCCAGGCTTCACTTCTCGACGAGGCAACCCTATGACCTACATAGTGCACTAGTTTTCACCAGAGCCCTATCGGGCCACTCATAGGTCCACGTCCCTGTCAGTCTCTGGTCTGGCCGGCCATTTTGAATTCAATGAAAACATCACTTTGCCATGATCATGTGACTTCACAGGGATACTGGCACTTACTGTACAAACAGGCCTAAACACACACACACTTCATGATATTCACTGTCTCTTTCTCTTACCTTTTCTCACTCTCCTTTACCTTTTAATCCCTCAAATATTCTCCCCCTCCTGACGCCCCACCTATGGGGCATGGTGTATGTGAACAGAGTGATACGAGAGGGTGGAGTTATAGAACTGGTAAAGGAAGTTGAGGTCAAGTCATAGAGTAATTTAAGGAAGATGGGTGGAAGTGAGGATTTGGGGGTTACGGAATAAGAAGAGAACTTTCAGCGTGGTGTTTACAGAATGTTGAAAGGAGAGTGAGGAGGTTCTAGAATGGTGTAAGGTGGAGGTTGTCTGGGGGGGTAAGTATATACTATAGTACACTACAGTCTATATGTCTATAGTTTTGGGTGGGTGGGTGGTGATGCTGCTGTTGCTCCTGCACCCCCCTTCAAGTCGACCCCCCGCTCAGGCTCACCCCATCGTTACCCCCCTACCCCTTTCTCCCCACCGGACCACCGTCCGACCCCCTCCTCAAACAGACAGACCCCCCTAACCCCCCCGGAAAGAGTGTATAGGAGAATATATGTTTTAAAATAAAGTGTATAGATATCAAGGTTGATATGACAAGTGAAGAGCGGATCTTAAATAAAAGGTGGAGTAGGTGTGGTGAAATAAAGATAATAATATATATATATATATATATATATAAATAGTCGATTTAACAGCAATTTCATGTGGGATGTATAGGAAAATAATTGTTAATATTGTACATTTTAGAATTTAAAAAATGCACATTTTAAAAACAATGAAAAACAAATCCAAGTCGAGACCAATTAACTGCTTGTATTGTGAAGACACAAATTGCTGTGATAACTGACATGGTCTCTAATGATGCTATTAAACA